GTTTGTTTCCTGAAGTGGGGACATAAAACCATGGAGGTGAAAGGTATGAAGGGATATCGGGGAATAAGAGTGATGCTTTTCTTTTTTGTTTTTTTATATATTTTATTGATTTTTCACAGAGAGGAAGGGAGAGAGATAGAGAGTTAGAAACATCGATCAGCCGCCTTCTGCACATTTCCCACTGAGGATGTGCCCGCAACCCAGGTACATGCCCTTGACCGGAATCGAACCTGGGACCCTTCAGGCCACAGGCCGACGCTCTATCCACCGAGCCAAACCGGTTTCGGCAGGGCTGTTTTTTTTTTAAGGTATTGTTTTAGAACTTCAATTTGCCACAGATTTAGAATAATGAGATTTGTTTGTGAACATCTGGGTATTACAGAGAAATTTACATACCAGTTCTCACACATTAAAGATTCTCTAGAAGAGGCCAGGAAAACATAGTTACATGCTAATTTAAATGTTTTATTTGTGTCATTTCTTGGCATATTCTTTTTTTTTTTTCTGAGACAAATTTCTGTCACCAAGTCACCACAAATAATGAAAATGTAAGACCTGAAAATAATCCTATGCTTCTTTGTACTTTTACGTTAGGAGTTCCTGTTCTGATGTTAATATTTAACGGAAACTCATGGTTGTACCACTATAACCTTTAAGAGAACTTGCAAAACAGATTTTCTTTTAAAAAAATTACTCATTAGGATTTAAGACATGAGGTCTGTGTACTGATGTATCATGCAGTTAGTTGGATTTGCCAAACACACTGATAAAATAAGGTCACTTCATATGTAAAACCGCTTTTGAATAAAAACCTCTCCTGGCAGAGCTCTGTTGCATAAACCAGGGATTCTAGAAGAGATACTTCCAGAGCATAGTGTGCTTCAGAACATTGATTTTGCTGAAACGTTTCAAGATGAGCTACTAGTAACTGAAGGTAAGAATTCCAACGTCTTAAATCTTTTGTGTTATTTGTAGTATTATCTAGATCCAGTGATGTAATAAGGAGGAAGAGTATTAGTTTGATTATGGTGTTAGGCTGAGTTTGACCCACAGTTCTTCTATATTACTTTGGACATATTACATCACTGAGATTCAGTGTTCTCTGTAAAATGAGACTAATAATAGTATCTAACATCTCATCCATGTAGTGTATGTATTAGATGTCATTAATGTACTATTGCACCTATTCTGTGGGTGGACTTTGAAGCAGGAGGAGGAAAGTGGTTATTATTAAACTCAAATTAATTACTATTTAAGATTTAATGATTACAAACTTAGACTCATTTTGAGATTTCTGTGCTTTTGTGCCTACTGTATAATTTTGGATGATGTCATGGCAGCATCCAAAACAAGTGGTGAAGTGACTGTAACTTAGATGTTTAGATCTGTTTGAAATAAACAACTGAAGGATTTAATGGTGTTTATTACTGATACAAAAGATTTGTATTCATATATACAAATTGTGTAAAAATGTACAGATTTTCAGCACAATCCTTTCTAATAAAAGAGTAATATGCAAATTAACCATCATTTCGCGATAAAGATGGCAGTGCCCAGAGCCAATAAGGAGGGAATATGCAAATTGACATGACAAGGCGAGAGGTGGAAGGTGGCTCCGGGCTGGAGCGAAGGCGGAAAGGCAGCTCCGGCCGGAGCGAAGACAGTGCCGGCTGTCAGGGGAAGGAAGGCCTATTCTTGCACGGATCTTGGTGCATTGGGCCTCTAGTGTTGTTTATAATAGCGAGAAGTTAGAAATAACTTAGATGTCCAAGAGTGGTGGATTGTTTAATTATGCAATATAATATTTTGAAACTATTAAAGCAATGATGTGATTCTGTATTAATGACATGGAAAGCTCTTATTGAGAAAATTTATTTTTAAAGTTTGCATAATAAGATCTCATTTTGGCATAAAAATAATTTAGTGTTTTATATAGCTGTGTAGGTAAAATTGCAGGACTATACACACCAAAATATTAACAGTGGTTATGTTCTGGTGGTAGAATTTCAGTTGGTACTATCCTCCTCCATCCCCATTTTTGTTTTTTAAATGATGAACTATATATTGCTTCTGAAATATGAAATGATAAAAGGATACTTATACTTGTGTAGAGGTGATGTACAGTAGTCTGTAATCTTTTCAGTAATTAGGAGTCTAGAACATCTATTCATAGGAAAGCTAGAAGTGGGGGTTAGAAATAATGAAAAGATTAGAAGTGGACCTTGTCAATATTGTGTTAAGGGGGCAGCATATAGAATGAACCTTGGATTTGCAGTTAAAACTCAATTCAAGACCCGTCTCTGTCACTTCAGCTCCCCTAAGCTTCACCTTCCTTACTTCTTCCTCCTAAGAAAGATCCCAATAAGAGAGTTAAACTGAACTGTGCAGTATAGTTGGAACAGGAACATTCATTGCAACAACAGTGAAGACTGAAAGTAGGTAGTATTAAGTGAATCAGAGCTTGGCACAGTTTCATGATTCAGCAACATTTATTTCTTTGATTGAATGGACATGTATTTGAGAGTACAGGGTGCCAGTCTATAGAGGTAAAAGATGCAGTGCGTGGCCTTTGTGGGCTTACAGGCTCGAGGAAAGACAGATGATTAAGATGCAGGGTGAAAGTGCTATGCTAGAGCTGTGTTTGGGAATCTGGGAGAGCACACAGGAAGGGGTACCCCATGTAGAGTGAGGTGACTCTTGAGGAATCTTGAAGAACCAGGGAGAGGGAACCTCATTTACAAAAATTCAACAAATGTGTAATATTAAGAGTTGTGTTTATAAACCCAACCAAGAGATAAGTAACATGCCAAGATCACCCTTCTAAGATGGGGTTGAGTTGGGACTTAGTGGGGGGTCTTTGAAATGCCAGATTCTACCTCAAAGAATACTGGATTTCTTGAGATGGTATATTTATCATCAGGATGAAGAGAGAAAACAATCCACTTTGTTTTGTGTTAGCATAGTAAATCACCTATGAAAGTGCTGTAAGTGAACTTTGTACATGATTATTTTGAATAACATTTGTTTAAGCATATTATTAGAAATATTTATAATCACAATTTTGTAAAATTTATAATTAGTGACATTTTGACAGTTGATTTAAACTTTTATAGTCAGATATATTGGTTACTATAAATTTCAGTTTACACTTACTGTGTTCGTTTAAAAATTTCCATTTAAAAATGTAATTCTTAAAATAGAATTTATATGTAGATTATAAACACGGTATATAAAATTTCTTGTCTGTATAAATTCAGGTGGACTAGTCTAGAGATAATCAATTCCAGCACCATTTTATTAATCTATAATATTTAATGATATTAATATTGCCTGGTTTCTAGATTTGCTTACGTTAAATATTTGCAAGACTGCCACTTATAAATTGTGTGCTCTTGACCTCTTTGTGCTTCAGATTCCTCCTCATCTTTGATGTGGAGATAATGCCTTTCTCAAAGAGTTGTGAAAACCAAGTAGGTTAATATACACAAAAGAGATAGAACAGTGTCTGGTCCACAGTTAGCTTTATATAAATGTTTATGCCACATACATCTTTTAAAATTCTTATTTTAATGGTCACAACAATCCCTTGAGATAGTTTGTTATTCCATATTGTACATGAGGAGACTAAAGCTTAGTCTTAGAGAGGTTAAGTTGCCAAAGATTACAGAGCTAATGATTGGCAAGGCTATAGTTCAAATCCAAGGCCAGAGCCTGTGCTCCTAATCATTGACGCTGAGCTGCCTATATTTCATGCTCATCAATAGTATTAAAAATCAAGTTGTCACCTACTCCCAACCTAACAGAGTAATATTTTGTGGCTAGTAAATATATATATAAATTTACCGGGTGTTTGTAGTGTGGTTATGTGGATTCATATATTTCAAACATTATTTCTATTTCAGTGTATGATCTTCCCCAGCGGCCTAATGATGTTCAGCTCTTTTATGGAAACATGCGTAAAATTATGCTTTCAGTAATTGGAGAATTCAGATATTCCACTTCTAACAGAGAATTTCTTCAGTCTTCTTCCAAAGCTAACCTAGAATTTAAAAGGTAAAACAAACAAAATGTCTGTCACAACAGACTTCAAGATTACTTGATTCATAGTATAGCTGGTCTTTTCCCTGTAGTTCATTTATTAATTTGTTTATTTATCTCAAACGTTTATTTCATCATTGTTTTTTTGGTTTCAGTTGAATAATTTCAAATTTATGGAAAAGTTAAAAAATCGTTCAGGGAATTCCTGTATATTACCTTTGCTGAGATTCCCCAGTTGTTAACATTTAACACATTTACTTTAGTGTTCTTTATGTATACATAACTTTTTTATGAACCATTTAAGGGTAAGTTGCAGGGATGATGACCAAGTAGCCCTAAGTTTTTTTTTTTTTTTT